TAAAAATTTTTGTATTTTTATTTTTTAAAAAATATAATAAATAAAAATAAAAATTATTCTAAACTCTTAATCTTATAATAGTGAAAAAAAATGTATTATTTTGAACGGAAGTAGTACAATTGTAAATTTTTGGTTAAATGTTAATTTTAGCCTCTCAACTTTAAGTTTTACACTCTCTTTTTCCCTTAATCCTTTTTTGCACCTTTTTGATCCATCAACTCTAAAAATTACACAATTTTGGTATCTTCGCAAGTTATCTATGATATGACCATTAAATAATTGCAAAATAGCATTTTTTTTTAATTTCTTTTGATGACATGGTAATATAATATATTATAGATTTGTTACGTGAATAATTAAAAATGCCAAATCACATAAACATTCATATTTTTAATAAAATGAGATAAAAAACAATAGAGTTATCTTAGTACCTGGTGTCCCTTTCTCAATCCATCTTCCTTCCCTTTTTCTTCCTAATTACTCTAGTTACAATTTAAACCAGTAAAATTTGGGTTCTGTTAAACCTAGCTGTTGGGTTTAACAAAACCCACTTGTTATGTTTCATCAAACCTAACAGATCTCATCAAATCAAACTAAGTTCTCCTTCACTCGGTAATAAATACTCTTAATCAAACCCTAATCAAATTTCAATATAAATGCAATCAAATTCAAGCAAATCAACTCCCAAATTTTGAAAAAAATCTACAAAGAATAGGTATAATAAGCAGATCAAGAACTAAGAATGGAAGGCCAAAGAAGAACTTACATCTACTGGGTTTCGTTGAACCCACTTGCTTGCTTTCATCGAACCCAATCTATTGGGTTTAAGGAAACCCAACAATTAGGTTCCATTAAACTTGAGCTGGGTTCTATTGAACATAGCTGTTGGGTTCACAGAAAGAAGAAGAAAGAAGGGAAGAAGATGGATTGAGAGAGGGGGACAGGGGTATTAAGGAAACTTTATGATTTTTTATTTTTTATTAAAAATATAAATACTAATCCAATTTGGCATCTAATTTGGTATTTTTGTTTCTACACATAATTAAATTATAAGATATATTATTATCATGTCATAGATAACTAACAAGAGGATCAAAATTGTATAATTTTTAGAATTGAGGATCAAAAAAGTAAAAAAAGTTAAAGGACTAAAAATTGCAAAACTATAAAGTTGAGGGACCAAAATTAGCATTTAACCTAAATTTTTTTGAAGGGAATTCTTTTCCCCAAAATTCCGGGCTGTGTATCTGGACGGGCCGCGGGCCTGCAGAGCTGTAACAAAAACATGTCAAACTATTCTACTGGGTGGGGCCCATTTTTTTTTTTTTTTTTTATATATATCATATTTTGGACAGTAGTCCATCATATGTGTATGTATCATCCTCAGCAGTAATTGTCGTTCATCTTGTCTAAATTCTGGTCGATTTTGGAGATTCAAAAATTCGCAGCTCAGGTGGTTAAGTTCAAAATTTTCTATTATTTTTGTAAATTGAACAATTATTGTCTGATAATTTGATCTGGGTACACGGAAATGTTGGATCTTTCCTCTGATCCTTCTTCTCTGACCCCATTTTGCTGCTCCGGAATTCAACCAGGGATCGCCCCAATTCTAATGTATTGTTTTGTGAAAACCCATTTTCCTAATGTTTTCAATTTAATGGGTTGATTTGATTGGTTTTTTTTTTTTTTTACCTGTTTAATATGCCCTTTTACCAAATTGGAATTCTGTCAATGTTTGAATATGAAAATTATCTTTTTATCTTGCTGGGTGTTTTTATTTCCATGTTCTCTCTGAAGAAGCATTCAAATTTTCATGGAAATCGTATGATGAATGACTTTAACAGCATGTTGTTTGAAATCTCGTCTGGTATATAACAGTTTAGGGGGTTG